TCATTTATATGAAATAATTTATATCATATATATTTTTTTGTAATAAATTGAATTAAACAATTGATTTATTGTCGGGAGGTTCGGGTTTTTGTAACGTGGGTGGAAAAAGCGCCGTTAATTCGAAGAGCAAAGAATACGAGAGCCGTGACCGTGAGTTTTATAACTTAAATTTATTGTCATCGTTATGAAAAACGACGTAGTTACAATTGAAATATACCTTTTTAAAAAAAGGGTTTTCTGCATTAGCATGTACCGACGTTACATTCATGTTATCCACGAAATGGAACATCTTTACTGCCTCCGTGCACGAAACTGATACAAGGTTATAGCGGTAGAACAAAGGATAAATCAAAATTTACTATTTTCTCTTTGTTTCAACTTTATATTCGGATATAATGATTATTTATATAATGTAACATATTATTTATGAGAAAATAACATATATCTTTTATTTATAAACGTTTTTGAAACGTGTTCATTCTAATTCTACATTTTGTTCTAAAACTAATGCATTTTAAGTAAAAATAATAAAAAAAAAACTAAAACTCGCACGGCATCTATGAGACGCCCATCGATCCACTTTTAAAACTGGAAATGTGGGACAGCACCGACCTATGTACTTTCTTCATACTGATTTGCAAAAGCACATTACGCTATTTTCGAATAATATGTTGAAGGATTAACAGCAAAATATTTTTACTAATCTTTGTTTATAGATGTATTTTTCTGTATTATTTACACATTTTTTATAGGTACGAATTTGGACCATAAGAGAAGTTTTGTATACTTAAATATGTTATTAATTACTATAAAAAATCTCAGCTTAAAGTATTTAAATTCCTAATTTTTTGTATGTAGAATGCAAAAAGAAGAAATTTAAAATTCTATCATTAATCCTAGGTCGCATTTTACATTCAACACTGCATTCCCCTCTTTAATTGCGTTCTTTTAAATTAAAAAAGGGGCAGTATAAGTGGTGTCAAGGGATACTTGCCAAAACTAATTAGAAAGTAGAAGGAAATGCTAATATTTACACTTGACATTAACTCATTAGTTAAATTTGTATATAATTAATTATAATTATATAGTTTTATTTGTAATATAATAGTTATAATATATATAGTTATAAATAAAAAATCGTTTATTAGTAATGAAAATACGTAAAAAAAATAGAAACTGTTTATGTTTTGTAAATTATTAAAATTTTACTGTAAAAAATTTAAATAAATAAATTTACATTTTTTGCAATAAATTCCATTATTTAAACTCAAATGCATTCATTCTTAATGCAAAATTAGAAGATAATAATATTGGAAATTTTTTCATGAAATGTAAACTTATTTTTTTTTGCGTTAATTTTCTGCTGAAATACAGAGATTGTACACTCTTTCCAATTACTGATGTGTTTGTCCTATATTTTGTCAATATTAGCAATATTCATGTCAATATTCGTTTGATTTAATATTAATTCCCAAATATTTGTTACGCGCTGTTTGCTGCTAGTGATTGATTTTCCGATTTCATTTATGCTTTTGAAGCAAAAACAAAATACTTGAAACAAATGGAATTTGTTAATTATTATTAAATTCTTTGAATATAAAAATTAATTTTGGATAGAAATAAAGTACTAATTATATTTTGTTATTTATAGTGGGCCAAAAAAACAAAAGATACAAATCTGTGGAAATTTTCCTACATACAAAAAATGGATTTTTTTAAAATGCTTATATTTAAAATTTCTATACTATTACTTCAGTTTGCGCATTAATTATTATTCATTTTATTGTTACATTACAAAATTCAACGCATAATATAAATTAATTATAAATTATTGATCAACATTTTGAATTGTAATAAATTTATCAGAATAATTTGGATTTTGTAAACAAAATTTAGCGTCGAAATATTCAAGTAAATTATTTGTTAATTAATATATTTAATTCATCATATGCAGAACAAATAATCATTTATTTATTGTTTCATAGCAAAACGTATTAATATTTTAATAATTATTCATTTTCCAGAATAATTTTGCTTTTGTGAGAATCATTTATAATTATAATGTTAATTAATTTTTATTCCTTTTTTCTCAATAGCACATAATAAAAAAAAAGATAATTAATCTAATTGAAATTCAATTATATATCTAAAATTGTTAGTTTTTGGAGCATACGAATGAAGTTTTTTTATAGTTCTTACATAAACTTGATATAAACTCTTCAAAGCACTCAAACCAAAGGTTTAAAGGTCTTCATGTAGCCTTTTCTTATTAATTTATTTAATTTTTATTTTCCGTTTTTGTAGTGCAGCCATTTAATAAATGCTAGTATTAAAATTATATATTATTTTTTCTTTTTAATTGATATTAAAATTCTATACAATTTATTGTCTCATAATAAAAAATAAATGTGAAAAGCTTTATTGTATCTTTTCATTTTTTGTTTAGTTTTAAATTGTTATATCATTGCAAAAAATGATGTGTAAATTGTATACAAAATTAATTAAACTTAGAAATAGAGCAATACCACGCATATAGTACGCAATATCCCGGCCTATTTGAGGAAATGAAATAACAATGAAACGCACAAAAAAAGACTACAAAAAATGTACAAATTTTTATTTTGATAATGCTAAATTAGTTTGTTTTGAAATATTCAAACCGGACTATAGAGAATGAAAATAATTAATTAATCATACATTTCTAAAAATTATTTTAATTTTGGGATTAAATTCTCAATACATATGTTAATAATTTGACTTAATTACTCCCCCTTACAGTTTTTTGTGTGTTTCTGATATAAAATAATTAGTTTCCAGAAGTTAATTGCATCCAAACTGTTTTTTTATTATTTTTTTTATTATTTTACCAAAAGTTGAACTGTGAGAGATCATGCATATTTCATGTAATAATACCACATACACACATAGATACGTATTTGTTGTTTTTATGGAAATTGCTTTTTCGCCGGGATAATAAAAGGAAAACTTTTTCTTGCCACAGCAGAAAGCGACATTAAAAAATATATAATTTCCCACCACGGGAAAACTTGAGAGATGTTTATTATTGTTTCCACGGTACGTTCACTTATTATAATACAAATTTTTAATGCAAAACATATTTATGTTAGTTCCTTGCAAATAAGAATTAAATATATATAGAAGCGTTTCTCAACTTTTGCGGTTTATAAAAAATGACGTTTTGACGTAAGGTGACAGCTGTCATTTCGTGATGCATAGTTTGAGAATTGTTGGTGTAAAGGCTATAACTATGTTAGTTTCTCAACTTGTTTGCTGTGCTATGTTTCATTCATTTGTTTTAACCCTATTGTTTATAACAAAAAAATCACGTTTAGACGTAAGGTAACAGCTGTCATTTTGTGAGCCATTCGTTAAGAAGCGCTGATGTAAAACTTAGAACTGTGGAAATGCTTGTTTTCTCATATTTATTTCAATTTATATTTATTATATAAATATTTATGCTATAAAAATTATACGAAAAAAAAAGTTAATTTAAAATATTTTTTGCCAATAAATTTTAGAAAATATATTAATTCCACTTCCATTGTAAAATTTATAAATCATCAAAATATTTAAATTATGTATTTTTTCCTATTTAAAAAATAATTAAAGTTAGTTAATTTCTATTGTAATTGAAATAATCCTTGTAATTATATAATTTGGTGCATTTATTTGATACATTGAATATAGTTAAAAACTATAAGTTGAAGCAGTTTTCCAAGTAAATAAACATTTTACTGATTTTTTTAGAATTTAATAAAATTGTAGCAATTGTAGAAAACATTTCAGTATTTTAAAATGTCAAATGCATTCAACGATAATTGAAAAAAGCTTTCGTTTTATGTTGTTATTCTTTAGAGAATAAATATTTACAATTTATTTTAGGTTTAAACAAAACCGTTGATTCGAAAATGATTGACAAAATTTGAATAAAACTAGAACTTTTCTTTTTCGATATAAAAAATTTCATTGATATTACAGAAATATAGTGCGGATAATGGGATTTAAATTTTTTGAAACCGGATTATTTGAGCAACTAAATACAAAAAGATAAATATATTAGTTTCATTTTAAATGTTTAAACCGTACTGATCGAGGCTTTATGCATTGTTGATTTACAAAAAAATTTTAAATAAATATATTTTTTTACATTTTTTCTATATAAAAAGACCAAATTTTAATAAAAAAAAATATGAATAATTAATATTTTAAAGGTTACAAAGAAATTCAAGGTTAGTTGAATGAAATTGTGTTAAAAATTAGTGTATATCATTGTTGTAAAAGAGAATAATTTGTATCATCAAAAAGATCTAATAAAAAAAAACATATGAGCAGAAAATATTCCAAAAAGATACAAATAAATATTAATTTGTGTATAATTTTGTAGGAATTTAACAATTTTATACGCATTTTAAATAATATTTAACATTTTCATTTAATCCAATCTTTTCATATTTTCCAATGAAATAATTTTGATAAAATTGTGTTACTGAAATCTTACTGGTATTTTCTAGTTAAATTATTGGAAACAAAATTACTTTGTCTTAAATTTAGTTATTTTTGTTTTGAATAGAAAAGAACATAAATATTCTAATATTTTGATATAATAAAAATAAAAAATAAAATTTTGTAACGTTTCTTATTAGATATATTTATTCATCATAAAAATAGATAATTTTATATCATTTTTAGTATAAAAATATAATAAACATATAAAAAAAAAACTCTATTATTATAATAAATATTTTGAAGAAAAATTTCAAACTTAATTGTTTATATTTTTCTTCAATATGTTTTCAAGTTTTATAGAATATAAATAACTATTTCTGAATAAAATCTTATTCATATTACATGTTTCATTGCTTGCTTTTGTTGCTCTACTTAAAACTGTTTTTTTTTAATAAAATATTCATAAAAATGTAGGAAATAAGTGCAACAATAAAAAACACAATTGATCAAAACTAAAGTTTCGTTAACCTTACCGAACAAGTATTTACGTAATCAAAAGCAAAACCACAAACAGAACTTCGAACTTTTTCAAGTACCACTGGAAATTCCGATTCGTGCGTGCCGGAATACGCGTAACAACAAAACCGGACCGAACTGTTGTTTGCGTCTGGAAGAGGGAACGGCGTCCGACAGACTGCGCGGCTCCAGCGAGCGTCGCGACGCCGGAAAAAGGATTCAGGACCTTGGAGGATCGCGCGTCGTCCTCCAACAGCTAGTCGCATGCTCAAATAACAAACATACATTCAAACATATAGGACATATCGATGTCATCAATCACAAGACTAATTTAAAACAATCCCACACACATATTTCATAATCCCCCAAGGCCCATCGAAAACTTCAAATCCAATCAATTTCCAACCAATAACTCATATCAACCGATATGTTATTTTTGTAGTTTGTACAGCATATTCCACCATTTATTGTGACATTTCATGAATAATATAAAGCAACTCAATTGAGAATGTATATACCTCAGAATAGCATCAATATTTAAGTTATTTTTATCAGATATCTAGAAATACACCAATACTACTATGTTTGAAATCGGACTAATCGAGGATTTTTAAACCGTACAAAAATAAACAATTAGTCAATTTTATTGTATATTATTTTTAAAATTTATTTTGATTTTAATCAATGGAAATTTAATTTATTGTAAAATTTTCAATCCGCACTGTTCGAGGCCGCCCTATGCAAATCATTATGTGTATATATAAATAAAATTAAACTAATTCAACTTATTTAATTAGTTTATGTTTCTTCAACTTTATATAACACTTCAGTGACAGTCAGGTGTACCAACTTCTATTGTAGCTGTCAAATATTAACTATAATTTTTATTCTAATCTGGAATTTAACACTGTTTTCATAATATGATTAATATGACAAATAAATGACAGTCAAGTGTCACTTATCAACAAATGTCATTGTTGCTGTCATTAGTAGCATTTATCTTAGATTGAAAATGTAATAGCATTACAAACATATTAAACTCATATTTTTCATAAATAATAATTATTTTATCTTTTACCAGTTTGAAAATTCTAAATAATGAGTAATAAATTTCATAAAAGCCGCTAAAATAAATACAATATTTTTTATTGCTAGTTAAAACATAATTCATATTCTTCGAATCGAAAATAATTGTTTTGGTACTTTTTTGTTTTGCATTGAATTGTGGTATTAAAACTATTTTTAGTTATTCTTATTTATAAATTTGTATAATCAATATATTATATTTCTGTATATAACTGTGGATTTCATGAAATATGTCAAATTTCTAAACAAAGTAAGAAATTGAAACTAAATAATAAAGTAAAATATAATCATGAATTATTTGTGCTGAAATAAACTGAAACAAAAATAATTAATAAATAATTAATTTTTATTTCTAAATAAAACATATTTTGCTTCTTTTTGTGATTACTAATAAATATGTATATTTTTATAGTCTAAAATAATTTATAAAAAAATATTAAATTTCATTATTAAAATCGAATAAATTCTAATATTAATTATATTTCTAATAATTGATTTTAATAAATATAATAAAGAGTTCAAATTTATAACTTAACTTCATTTTTTTTGTTAACGTTAATATTTCTAACAATCCTGTTTTTTATGTAAATAAAAGAGGAACTAAATTATTATACTTTATAGTTGGAATTCTTCAAAGGGAACTAATTATGAATTCCATGTTTCATGTTTGTTTTAATTAAATATATTTATTTTACCATACAAATTAAATTTTACTTCGGACATGTTTTGCATATTGTTAAGATATCCTTGGTAACAGGAACATTTTATTTCCGGTTATTTTTGTTTTGTTTTCTTAATTACTATACATATTATTCCATCTACTATACTAAATTATCAAAAAAAGAAAATTTTACATCCAAAATTTGAATATATGTACATAATAATAACCTTTTACACATTTATTTATAAATTTTTATTGACCCTAATTTCAACAATACCTCTCATAGTGCGGATTTGATCAGTTAAGATTCTCTATAGTCCGGTTTGATAATTCTAAAATATTTTATTTTTACTTGAGTATAATAAAAAATTATTTCACAAATGATCGATATTTTCTTTCATACACTCAAATCTCTTTTTGTGCCGTTTATATTTTTCGAATATATTGTACCTCGATTAGTCCGGTTTAAAACAGTCCGGGATTTTGATGGAATCAATTACCCTTACTATTTGAGATGTTTGCTGTATTTCAATCATCATTAGAAAATTAAAAAATATTATTGTTAGTTACATTATTTATAGAATTTTGAAATATTTTTGAAGAAATCTAAAATATTGTTAATAAAACAATTTCAATTGATTATGGATTAAGAAATAATTGGTAATTATTAAGTAAATGTTAACTGTTTCATTAATTATTTTTACAATAAATTAGTTATAAAAATTACCTAAAAATTTAAAAAAAAACAATATAAAATAATTTATGACTGAAATAATCAAAACTTTAAATCATTAAAAATAAGAATAAAAATTTTAAATAAATTTTGTTTTTTTTACAGATTTCCATTACATTTGAAACAGGAATCGTTTCCTTTCTATAATAAAAACCCGTTTTGGTCTATAAATTGTATTTGGAAATATTAAACATACTTCATTTGAAATGAGATTATGCGATAAAACTTTAACAAAATATGCGAAATAAATTTATAGAATTTACGACACAGCTCAATTTCCGTGCTATTAATAGTAAATCTCTTGTTTCATATACTATATTATACATAAGCACAAAAAAATAGTAGTTTCAAAGTATCATAAAAGTGATGTATATTCCATAAATTTTATATATTTCAACTATGAATATATTTTATGTAAAATTTTGATTACAAATGAATTCTCAAATGTTCAATTTTTTTCTATATATCAAATATTTAATACAAGAACTTTCAGATCTTAAATGTATAATTTTCAATCTAATTACAAATTAGTCAAACCAATTAATTAGTAGAATATACAATGGTTTTAACATTTAACTTAAATTTGAAATATGCAGTATTTGTCTGTCTACGAATTAGCATATGTTCTTCAATTAATAACATAATTTTCCAAATGTTTATAATAATTAAATAATAAAAAAACATATGTAGCTCTATAAAGATCGGAAATTAAACTTTTCCTTAATTCAAAAAAGGAAAAAATAAAGAAGAAAATAAGAAACTTTTAGAGTTCCCTTATATTTAAAACTGACAATTCACGATAACATAAGCATAAGTATAATGACGACATCTACTGGTGTATTCTGAAAATACGTAGTTCAATTATAAGTTTTTTTTCATTTACCAGTTGAAATTGTACTGAAATAAAATGTTGAATCTGCGGTTTTCGAAAATTATCGTATGAAATAAAATGAAAGTATTAAATAACTTTTTCTTATTAATATTAAGTACAGAAATATTATATTGAAGAATCAGCACTTTATTCACATCGTTAAATAACCCTACTTTCAGAAAAATGGTCTTCTCAAGTTCGTCAAAAACTGCTGCTTCTCAAATATCAACCCTAGCACTTCAACGGTCTTAATACACCCTTTATTCCATACAGCTAAAATCAGCTAATAATCTTAACGTTCGTCCCCAAATACAATATCGTTTTATGTTTCCATCTTTGCACATCTTTTATTACACTCCTCACAATTTCCCATCAAAAACTTCACTCCATTCGTTTATGAAATGTTTACTATCGTATTATTTGCAAGAAACTTTATATGTTTGTTAAATATTTGATCATTTGCGATATTAAACTTCATATAAAATAAAAAAATTGTTATATGTTATTATTTGTTCTATTCCTACAAAAGTGATTATTTTATGAATTGGTTTTCGGAAAAAATTGGACAATTTTGATTTCTTCAAATATTATTACATTTTGTATTAAGCTCGTAGGAAAAGTGATATTTTTTTCCTATTTGATGATCTAATTAATATGGGTGTATACGGAATTAAATAATTGATGAAGACAGCTTATTATAAAAGAATGGTAGATAACTCAAAATTGAGAGTATTATCATTAGAAAATGCATAAATTTGGATATTGGATGATCTAATTACCATTTGTTGTTATCGAGTAATTAAGCAAAAAGTGATTTAAAAATATCTCAAATAAATCATAATTTAACAATTTTTATATCTAAGATGTGCAATAATAGAGCACTTATGTAATTTTAAAATATATAAAAAGTTGCAATGTTTCCGAGTTAGCATGCATAATCTTAATTATCTCATTGTTTTTTAATTAAAATAATGATTATGTATTCTTTCTATAAAGACTATTTTTTTAAACAAGTAATTCTGATGCAATATTCAAAATAAACATGAGAAAAGATATTTACAAGCTTATTAAAAATTACAAAATAATTCAAATTCCTATCCAATGTTCAAAAATTAACTATGGAATTACAGAGATTATTGATAAAAAAAGCAGAATAAAGCAGCAAACAAATAATAAAGACGCGGGGGAGTGTTAAAATTTAATTGAGAACTTATTTTCGTGCGCGATTTTTGTCCGAAATGAAATGAAGGGTCGTGGAGACGTCACAGCGATTAAAAATTAATTAAATGTCTTCGTCGTGGAACTGCAGGTTTCTCCTGCAAGGACATCATATTATTTTTTTTCACTTTTTCTTCAGTACAATTTTATACGTTTTGCTCTCTTTCTCTCTATTTCCTTTTCCTATACCATTTTCTTCCCCCCTTTCACTGACAGTTTGGTTAAATGCACTGTCACCGGAAAAATTAATTAAAGTGAGTACTCTTTTGTAAATTTTATTTTCTCGTTTTTCATATCCATACAATTAAATTTGTCGGTTTTTGTTACATTCACCAGTAAAGTAATTTAAATACTGCAGCTTTGCAAAATATATTGGTGAAGTAAATAATTTGTCAATTAACGCGTAGTTTATATATTAAGTACGTGCAACTTGTCACGTTACTTGTATTAGTCATTAGTAATATTTAAAATGACTTAATTTTATGATAATACTTGGAAGAATTGAGCATAAAAGTGCGTACACGTTATACAATATTTGCAAAGTCAAATGTATCGCGTCTATCTCATTATTTTACACATACCTGAAATTTAATTTAAA